CCGCTCAAACGGATCCAGTAACACGAGCGATCGCAGCAAGCGATAAAGTCCAGCTCCAAGCGAGGAACATTGCACCACCGGTTTCTACCCCCATAAACATTGATGTTTTATCAAAGGAACTTTCTGGTCACCTGGATAGTCATTTTGTAGCTAACTTAATTAATTCTCTCCGTTATGGCACACCCGTTGGTTATATAGGCCCCCGTCAGCCCCGGGGTATCCTGTAATTTACAATCGGCTGCTCAGCACCCAGACGTAGTTTCATCCAATCTGACCAAGGAGATCGCACTGGGTCGCATAGCAGGCCCCTTTCAGTCTCCCCCACTTCCTAATGTAAAAAAGCCTAGCTAAAGGAACTACGACATTAACTGATAAAAGTATTATGGAATATTATAGATATTTTAGACGCGAGGACACTTTTAACATAGAACATTATTTAAATGCAAAACACTGATTTCTAAATGTGTATAGTCAATGTCCTTATGAAAGAACGTAGATTAATCTAATTCACTGATCACCTTATCGCCGATCTAAGCTTCAATCATTCAAAATTCTGCCGCTTTGTAGGTTTACAACATGGCTGTCCACAGATTTAAGTCAATCACACTTTTCCCGCCTTTTCGTGACAAAATGTTAATAGATCCGTCAATATATTTTAGAAAAGGGGTTTTGTTTTCGAATGATTTGCGCTGCTATGTAGAAGCAGAAACAAATCAATTGCATGAGAGAATTTTGTAAGCATAGCTCCGGGTGTAAATATAGTGAGTCTTTTTTCATAATTGTAAATAATTGTAGTTTGATGGAAATATAATTTTTTTTAAAGAGATTTGCATGGCGGCATCCTTTTATTTTCATATTTTCAAACAATTTCAAGTCTTTTTCACGGTCAGTTTTTTTTCTTTTTATATGAGTGATGTAAAGTATAATTTTTGTACAGCAAGACAAATGGGTGTAAATTATCTGACTTTTCGAATGTCCCAAATATAAAAGGTTTATTAATAAAATGAATTCAGTGATATTGTGGATTATTTATTGATAGAGGGGAATAACATTGACGTAGAAGTCACATCAATAACAACAATCACTTTGACTGTCACTGTTCTTCTGCTGATTTTGCTGTCCTTAACTATGAATTCACTTCAAACCATTGCCCTTAGAGCCATCACCAATCCAATTGAAGAAGCAAAGAGGCTTCACGAAAAACACCCACTCACGTGAGATATGTTTAAAGAAGAACACAGACGGAAATTTATACAATGAAACCTGGATATCGCTTTTTTATCAATGTTTTTGTTTTTCTGTTTTAGTCACACGTTAAAGGTGATTGTGTCTCATTAACCATTTCAGTGCATAACAGTACGTGTTTGCACTCTCAAAGGACACTTTTAATTGACGATCTTTTCAATTATGAATTGTTATTTATTGATAAGAATATTATGGAACATTATGGGTATTTTAGACGTTAGGACAATTTTAACATGTTACATTATGTTAACGCAAAACTTCGATTTCTAAATGTGTATAGTCAATCACGCCGAGAAAGAACGTGGATTAATATAATTCGTTGATCATCTTATTGCAGATCTACGCTTCAATCATTACAAATTCTGCCACTATTGTATGTTTACAACATGGCTGTCCACAGATTTACGTCGCTGTTCACACTGTTCCCGTCTTTTTTGTGACAAAATGTTGATAGATCCGTTAATTTAATTTAGGAAAAGGGTTTTCCTTTTGAATGAGTTGTGCTTCGATTTAGAAGCAGAAATGAATCAATTGTATGAGAGAATTTGGTTATCGTAGTTCCGGATGTAATATAGTGTGTCTTTTTTCAAAATTGTAAATAATTGTAGTTTGATGGAAATATAACCTTTTCTGCAAGAGATTAACGTGGCGGCATCCTTTCGTTTTCATATTTTCAACAAGTTTCAAGTCTTTTTCACAGTCAGTTTTTATTGTCTTTTTATGAGTGATGTTAAGTATAATAGTTATGCAGCAAGACAAATGGGTGAAAAGTCATTTGACTTTCCAAATGTTCCAAATATAAAAGGTTTATTAATAAAATGATTTGAGTGATATTGTGGATTATTTACTGATAGAGGGGAATAACATGACGTAGAATTGACGTCGAAAAGAACACAATTTCTCACAGTATTGACGTAAAATAAACGTAGAGGACCCTAGTCAGGTCAGGTCTTTTTATAAAATAGTTCACTAGTCCCTTCATCGTTAATCCATGCATAGCAGCGATCTTGGAAAGGAGACTCACGAGAGGGAATCAAACGTAACAGCATACAATTCTTTTAGGGTCTTATACTAGTAGGAGCCCAAGTACTAGGGACAGCACCACATGCTACTGCCCCACCTACTCTTATAATAGTAGGTCCTGGGTACGAGGGATGGGACCGCGTGCTACTACCCCACCCGTGAACTTTTGCGTGCATAAGCAAGTCATTGTTTAACACAAAAACAAAAACAGTTCAGGAACATGATAAAAACATATCTCAATTTATTTACATACTTGTTTTTTCCAACATTTCAGATCCATTTCTCTGAGCTGGCTAAGAAATATGGAACATCCGAGAAGACAAAAGTTGGAAACATGGTGGTGAATGAATTTGTACTCAGAAATGATGTACATTTAGAAACCTTCAAGAACGACCCACTTCCACTTCCACTTCTAAGAAGAATGATCCACTTCCAAGAATGCGGCTTCAGAAAAGCTTTCAGGGGAGATCACAACACCAGTGTCTTGCACAAGTGCAGCCATAAGGGAAACCTCAAGAAAACAAATTGAAAATGGAGAATACTGCTTGGGCAAGATTATTCCTCCAAAATCCTACCAGAAGCTGACACTGGATTCTAATTGTACTCTTAACAAAGAATGTTTCACAGGCAGTGACAGAAAGATACCTTTAGTAGAAATAAGGAGAATCTTGTGGATAATCATGAGCAACTGGGCTTGGTAAGAGACCACTCAGAAGCTCATAATGAGGTTATCACATATGAGGAGCTGGAAATTCGCTTGAAGGAAATTGGAGAGTTTAAAGACAAGCCTGATAGTGGGATGACAAGGGAGGAACTTGTTAGCTCACTAAAACACCGGAAGCGATCCCAACACCTAATGATCTGGTCTGACCACTCAAGTGTCATGAATCATGGTCATATCCTGTTGACAGTTAATACTATTTATGATCCGGCATTCTATCACACATCTTAAGAGCTTGGGGACAAGGATGTCCAAGAAATGGTGGAAAAGCCACAAATTTACCTCATGGCAAGGAGTGGAGACACCATTGAGGATCAGCTGTTATACAACGACACCCACCTTGAAGACATCCAACAGCTCACCACAAAGAAAGATCACCTCTTCGCACAATTTGTTAATCAGTGACATGACCTGATTACAGAGTACAAGGGCTGAAATCTCCAAACAGATGGTTTATTGAAACCAGCCTTGCCGAGTCAATTAAGGGAGGAGTTAAAGGGTATTTAATGGGTCCCCACATTGTGTTTTCCAAATCAAAATGCTTCAATGAAAGAGCTTAAATTGACCCAGTATGAAGTTGTGGCAGCGAAACTCCTCCATGATCTCAAGGAGCACATAAATAATATCCTAAAGGAACTCCCCAAGCAACTAACTGATGAGGAAAAAACACCGTTTGGGGAGGCCATAGAAGCAGCTCTCTCCACAAAAGAAACGTTAAGGGGTCCAGATTACCATCCTTGTTGTATCGTTCTTGCACTTCACCTTGGAAGCAACTGCCATCTAACTATAAAAAGGTTACTGTACAGTCTTGCAGAACTCTGTGAATTGTTGTACACTCCTTCAGACAAATGCACCCCCCGGCATAGTATGTGACATTTTGCCATGTAGTTACAGTTCAAAAGGTATCTACCACTACAGAAGTCCTGACACAGAAAACTGTATGGAATATAATATCACAGCATAACCTGCCACGCCCCCTTCACATCACATCTAATCTCACTTAGTTCTGTAGAAACATAGGAGGAGGAAAGAGAATTTAGCACCATCAATTCCATTAGCAGGACAACCTCCAATGATCATCCAGAGCATATAATTCCCAACTGCATAGTTTGAGCTCAAGCAGAACGAAATTTTAAAACAACGAAAAGTAGCTTTCTTGAACAACAGTTAAAGATAGGAAAGTTTGCCAGTAACCTTCCACAGTTTCCTGACACAGTAATTCCCTATGAACTCCTTGGAAAAGTGAAGGAAAGTGAAAGTCTACAACACTGAAGGCTATGTAGCAGACACCAAGTATTAGAGTGTTCAGAGATGAGGAATGGCCAGAGCCAGAAGATTATACTGCGGAGGAAATCCAAGCAGATGCAGAAAACCAGGATCTCTCTTTGCCTAGTGATCAAGAAGATTCAAAAGAACATGAACAATCTCTTCCATTGACCACACGTTTGGTTTACACTTCTGAACATGTTGATGCAGCTGAGTTGAGTAAAGATGACTGTGGTGATTGTGATTATGAGAGAAGAGAAGAAGGAGGTCTAAAAACTACAGATTGTCATATCAATTCACCGGGTGTTCTTCTACCACAAATCAACATGACTCAAGTATCTTAGTAGATGGTGCCCAACAGCAAGCAGTAAAGGACCCTGCATTGAAAGAAAAGGAGAAAAATCAGCAAGGTTGCATCATCAAAAACCTTATCACATCTGTGGCCAAAGTATTAGGCATAACAGCTCTTGTAAAAGCACTTCACAAGGCTAAAAAAGCCCTGCACGAAAAAAAAAACAGAAACAACAAGTATTGCTATGACAAGTACAAAAATACTGTGGCCTGTCCAGACCCAAGTGCTTGCTGGTCACAAAAGTTTGACACAGGAGATAGAGAAATGGGAAAAGGAATTTCTTCTAAAGCATGGGTTTCCACCAACATATGAAAACGTTGAACAAGAGGAAAAAGTAAAAGCTGCATACAAGAAGAAAATAGAGCAAGGACCTATTAAAACATTGAAAAATAACTGTGCATGTTCATCCACGTTAAAATATTTTTGATATGATGTGAATTACTGTTCAAAGAATTCCACTTTCTAGTTTTATAATTAATTATTAGCAATTATTATTCATTCAAAATATTTCCGTTTCTGACTGGCTAAGCACACGCATAGTCCAGGAAACCACGTCAAAAATGCAGCGTTCTTGCAGCTTAATGCACCGTCAACCGATAAGACCGGGGAACGAGGTTGAGTTGTTTTGTTTGTTTAAAATAAAAATGGCGGACATTTCACTCGTTTCCAGAGTAAGAACTAGGCAAAATTATAGCTAAAAACATGGCAAGAGCAACAAGAACACAACTTGAAGGGTGACATCTGCTATTTGGAGAATATTTGCGGAACTGAACAACCCTAAAAGTGCACTATCGAAGGTGAATTTAAGGAGGAGGTAAGCATGTTTTAGCTTTGTTTTGAAACTGGGAATTATTTTGAATGAATAATAAAACAATTATTGAATTCGGCTTTCGTATCATATGAAGAATTATGGAGAACTCAGAGGATGTTATCCGCCTCAGCCTACGGCCTCAACAGATAACACCCTCCTTGATCTCCATAATTCTTCATAAGATACTCAGCCTCATTCATTAATTGTTAATTAATCGTTAAGAAAATTATATTTAGCCCCTGTAAATGTTATTGAAGAAAGCCCTATGTAAGCCTGTGGCCATAACTGTGTGTGTTCATCCAAGTTGCTTAAAATAGTTTAGATATTATCTAAATTATTGTTCTGAGAATTTCATTAAAGAATGAAAATGATATATTATTTGCAAATAATCTTTTAAGAAATTTATATTTAGCACAAATGTTAGACCTAGCAGTATTCAAAAAGAACATTTGAAGATTCCTTGTCAAAGTATGCCGTCCAAAGACATTGGGATCGAGCTGTACACGCATGTCTATACACACGCCTAGTATTTAATGTTCTGTTTTCCCTACACCGAACACTGTATTAGCTAAAAGAAAAAATTAGATGTATTTACGCTGTATTAGCTAATAAAATAACAAGATGCATTTTCCTTTGTTCCTGTGTCTTTATGAGCCATTTTGGAATGGATTTGAATCCAATCAGAGACAGTTAACATTACTGGTTATCAAATGTATTTGCTTGTCTGGCGCGTGGTAAATAAGACGCTCAAATTTCGTCTGACGTTTCTTATATTGTCATGTTAACTGTTAACTCTTGATCTCCTTGCGAAATGATCTCGGGTTTCAATTTAATGGTCACGGAAACAGAAAAGAGACAAGGCATGAAACTCTGTAGCAGTCTTTGTACAATCTGTGACTCCATTTGACCGAACAAACTTTCGCGTGGAAATGTGCAAGGAAACTCGATCCGACAGCCAGCAGCCTTTGTCTGCAATTTCTGCGAAATGCGACGTGAATGACTCTCCCGAAACTGTTGTAGCATATGTGGTAGGAAAAGAAATACTGCCAGAAACATCAACCGTGACCAAAAGCTTCTTCATGGTCATACAATCAAAGCCGCGTTCTCTTGTTTTATGTTGACATTTGTCAAGTCACCAAACATAGCAGCGCTATTGGTTTAAGGTGATCCAGAAGAGGACGTATTCCTTCACTAAGGAATGTTTTTTGTCTTTCCTAGTGCAAACTTTTTTACCTACCAAGACTATGTAGCTGGTCAGAAGGTTGTTGTGACAATGTTGTTAGTTCCAGGCCCTCGGGGCCCAGGATAGGTAAAGTTCCTGGACGGTCGCGTGTTTTCTCTTCTGTAATGACAAGTAGATGACAAAGCCTTTTCCTGTGATTAAACGAGTTGTGTTCTCCAGCTTCTGTCAAGTTCATTGTCTCACAACTACGTTACAGTTGTTCTCCAACGATTCAATCCCTGACATATAGTCATACATTGCCACCAACAATGAACCTCACTGAGCCTTTCTTTGGATGGGTAGCGTTGTAATAATGTAATGAAGTAATAGTTGTAGCAAATGTGGTCAAGAAGTAAATGCAGACAACAGCTTTTAAAGACCCATACTAGAGAATGTACGTTTAAAAGTCATTACCGTTTACTAACTTAAGATTGTTATTATATATCAATAACCAGTGAGGGCGGAAGGCCTTAAGATGATTAAAAATTGCCTTTAACGTCTGCCTTACAGCCTTCCTTTATACTTATTTGCAAATTTACACCAGTATTTCATCCTTTGGACCCTTTTGCTTTGTGTTTATCATGTGGCTAATGCCTCCTATTCTGTTAAAAACTAGAGGTACTGTTTGCATCATACCATTACAGTAGATGTAGTATATCAGGCAGGAGACACAGTGTTTCATCACCAGATGAAACATCAAGAAGAGAGTTGAAAATACGATGCACAGGTCAGGTGAATATAAATTTGAACAGCAATTGGTTTATGGTTTGTTTTGGTTGAGGTTATCAAATTTGATAACAATCCCAGACTGCATACATGCATGATATTTTCATGTGCTTAATTACTTAGAAGATGGTGTTGAAGCCCTCGAATCAGAGTTTGATGTTTGTTTGGGTCACGCCTGGATGTCACTCAAGTTCAGAAAAGCCGAGACAAAAAGCAAAATCTGAGTCTAAAAAACCGTTTTGAATAATTCTCAATGTTTTTCACGTTGGTTCCTTATAGACACTAAAAAAAACGTAAAAGTAATATCCAATCATTTGAGATCAACACTTTCCCAACTGAGAGTTATGTCTACTTTGTTCAATAGGATCTAAGTCCCTAAGAAGGGGGAAACCGGCCAAAATGCCATGGCCCGCTTTGCATATTTTTCCCAAATACTACATTGTCTGTTTGCCCGTCACTCCTAAATATATGGACCTCTGCATGGAAAGTTGACCAAGATAGTCAAAGATGTGTACATGACTTTTCTATGTTCTACAAGCCCACGTGAAATTTGATATCGCATTGATGTGACCTGAGTGTAAGATTCTAGTTCCATTTTAGGTCACTGCAGTACTTGGTAAAATGTATGGTAGCTCTGCAATAAATAATATAAAATTCAAGTGTGGTATTTGTTCAATGCCTCATGCCATAAGTGGTGTAGAAAGGACTTTACAAGGAAATAGTACAGTTATACTTCAAATATGGTATTATGGTATATGACGATAATGATCTCAGAAAAGCATCAATAATACCGAAAAAATGCTTAAAGTGATTTTCCAGTCATTTTTAAACTTAAACTTAGAGCACTTTTCTACGGCCAGCAGATGACCTTCAAGCATATGATTGGGGGCTCAATTTTGAAATGATTCTTTTACAAACCTCGGGAAAATGTTTGGATGTGGCCAAGCTTTACTACCCTGATATTTTTGTTCTTAAAAGAAATCGGTTTCTTTGATATGTTCAATTCACGTTTAATTTCCAGGCTTCAGAGGTTGGAAGGGGGTATTTTACAACGATACCAATACAGTCGAAACTCCCAAACATGACCACCCAAAATGTAAAGACTTGGTCGCTTACAACAGGTTGCTTTCAAGAACCCAAACCACAAGGAGCCTCTTCCGAGAAGAGGTCCAGGTACACATACTTTATGGAAGTTATGCCCAGTGTGGTTCCATGTTGTCACTAAAGCTCTTTATATATTCTAAGCAGCAAAGTGCACACAGCAAACATAGTGATCAGAGAATATGTCAAGTGGTTGCTCACAAGAGGTCAAAAAACACCAGGAAAATCGTTAAACTTTCAGGCCCAAAAAGTGGCAGCGGTTGCTTACAGGAAGTGGTCGTTTACACGAGATTCCAAGTCTTTGACTGGGAAAGTTTTTGTGTTTTGGATAGGTGGTCAGTTATGGGAGGTGGTCCTCAAATCGTAAGCAATAAAGAGTGTTTACAATTTATTCCTCATGGAGAAGTAAAGATTCAGTACAAGGACGATGAGGATATTTATGTCAACTTGTGACTTTGAGATTCGTTTCACGATGATGTCTTCAGATGTGCCCAACCACTGTCGGGTACAACATTCAGGAGGCTAAAAATCAAAATGCAGAGGCAGCCAAAATCAACTCAAGAAATTACATCCACCAAGCGACATGAATGTAAGATAATCGAAACTGGTGTCATGCAGAATTGAATAAGTGGCTGTTATTTAATGTGGAAAAATCTAGTTTCTTAATGGCTACCATTAACTTAAGGTGACAAAGGTTTCCAGATGTCTTTTTTGCGGACAAATGATCCCCAGTTTCCCACAACGTTTCTATAATTTTGAAATGAACTGACCCGAAACTCGGTACTGATCAGCAACTTCCTGGAACTGCCCTTCAAAATACCCAACTCTAGCTAATATGTAATCAAATCGATTATCACACATCTAATCCTCTACGCTTTTACCACAGATAGAAGATCTTCCTCATTTGTTTATAGAAAAGCCTGCCATCGTCATTTCATTCTCAGTAAAGTTAAGGAATGCAATCACCTGCACTTACATTTGAGGTACCAGGTATAGACCACATGGACTTAATCCACATATGCTTTCCCCAGGGGCATCTGTTACGCAAGTCTCCGAATGTGCTCAGCCCTACTAAATAAGCTGTCAATCATTTTTCCTCACTATCTGAATGGTGCACGCACTTTCCTTCCTTATCATAATAATAATGGCACCTCACAAGAGAAGAGAAAGCAGTTTTTATGGTTCTATAAATAGCATATCTAACGTTGATATGTTACCTGTGGCGAGAAAGAGAAAGATAAAACGTAGAGGAAGGATGTGGGAGGTAGAAAGGCTCATTCCCAAGAGAGAAAGTGCAACAGTAAGTTGAAGGCTGTGGGATAAAATTAAGACAAAATCTTTATTCAAGCACAAGTATACACAGTTCAAAAACCACTGCTGTTGCTTAGTTGAATTTACAAGGAAAATTCCCTGATGATAAGTAAAGGGGAAAGTGGCAGTATAACGAGCTTGAATTTTGCATGCTTTTATTCACTAACAAGGAACAGAATACTTGGTTTTGTGGGAAGGGTTTTCTTTGTATGATGTAACGTAAGAACCCAAAGAACATGTCTCGAGCGATTGCATCCGGTATTATCAAGTCATATCTTCTGCTTTCAGTCATTATTCATTTACCTTTTCATGGGAGAGTATTTTTTTACAAAGAAGAGAAAATCTGCTTCTAATTGCATAATTTTATGACCCAAAATTGTATCACGGTAACATGATCAGTAAAACCAATCTCTCTACAGACTTTGTTTTGTCCCCTCCTTTATATTTGGCTTATGATCACTATTCCATTTTTATAAACACTGCAAAAGTTTCCTCACATCATTCATATTGCGCTGAAATGGTTCTCTTGACCATACCGGTAATTTGACTTATATTTCATTTACTTTCTCATAGTTTTTCTAAGAATCTAGTCCCTGAGGAGTCACTACTCTTTAACAAGACTGCCACCCTGAGAATTGCTGGTGAACAGCATCTATCGAATACAAGGCTGGCAGTCACTATAGCCTTCAGAGGAGACTTGTAAAAATTCCATTCAAAAACAAGAGATTATTCCAAGATGGTTGGCGTCTTCTAAATATAGGAGATTTTCCTGCAAGGTATTTCCCATCATTTTGATGTCAACTTGCAGACTGTCATGGCCAGGGGATAAAATTCATGTACCCTATGAAGGGTAGACACTATCTCCTGCTAAACGAAAAAAATAATGTGGAAGGAGATCATCACCCATCTCCAAGACCTTTTCAGGAAAAGGTTTTTTTCTCATTTGTAAAGGAAATTCTTGGGGAATCTCTTAAGGCTAAAGAGACATCTCCAAGTGCTACTTTTGGCTCAACTGCCAGCTTAAATTAGTTTTTGTCAACCTTTTGTATGATTATAACTTCTTTATTAACCAAATGTTAAATTAAGAGGTCACTTTTATCACTAATCTAACGTTTCACTCCAAATTCAAATGTCATTAGGAGAATGTAGCATTATAACATCTATGTTGCAGGGTGCGCTAAAAGCTATGTCTAATTGTCTGCAACAGACAGAAATACAATCGGACAAGTAAACCTGAAATGACTTGATGACTTTTAATTAGAAAAAATACAGACACATGAAAGTTGACTTTAAATTACAGTGGAATTACAATTTATCTTACAGTCATAAAAACAAACCCCATGCTTGTCAAAATAAGGTTAAATATTCCTTTAAAACTTTGCCATTCCACAGCCATTTCAATCAACTGTTTTTTTACGAGCTCCATTTGGCTTGGGAACCTGGCCTTAGTAACCAGGCCTTTTAAGAACTAACTGATTCCCAGGCGAAAAATTTGAGTTGATAATAGTGGAAAAAAAGTCCAAAAACAGTATTGTTGTTGGGTTTTCTTTCAAAAGAATCAAGTGAATCACGAGTCGATCATAGCACGTAAGCCAGATGACCTACGAAACATCCTTGTGTTAGTGAAGCTCATGATCGTCTCACCAACTACTGCAACATGTGAGAGGTCATTCTCAGCTATGAATAGGCTGAAAACAGTGTTGAAGACAAGAATGCAGCAGGGAACATTGAGCAACCTCTTGCGGGTTAAAGACACAGGTCTAGTGCTGAAAGAGTTTGACCCAGATTCCGCAATTGATCTGTCACTCTTAAAGGCTAAAACAAAGTGTCACATTTTGTCTAAGACCAGTGCGATTTCATCTTCTGCTGTTCACAGTCTGAATGACACTTCGGCTGTAGGAGAAGAGGAACAAGAACAGGAGCTGGAAGATGACAGCATGCTCCCCGCACTGCCACATCCTGTTGATGAAATGAGAAGTAATGTTGACATTGTGAAATGATATAATATTATAAATTGTTTGGGTTAAAGTCAAAAACAACTTACCTGCAAAAAGGCTAAATATGTGACAATAGGCAGTAAAATATATGCCCCACTGTTTTTGAGTTTTGAGCAAAACTTTTTGGACAAGAACCCTTGGGTTTTGGACAACCAAATTTAATGTAGTGCTTGTCCGAAGGACAAGTGGATAAGAAAATTTTTGGTGCACCCTGTGTTGAAAAAAATTGATAAACTGTTTGGCTAAGTCATGATAGCATACTGTTCCGTGTTAAGTTTGCTCGACGAGAAATACATTCATATACTAATAACAGACAAATGAAAGTCAAGCACGGCACTTTCAAATGGCTGAGATCGGAAATTTGCTTTGCGACCGCGCAATATTAACCAAGATGGGATTGACCATATTAACTTCCAGTTAATAGCTAACGGGTCCTTTAAGAATGACAGTGTTTTTTGTTCCCAAGCCAAAAAAACACAATGCGCCGCAGACGGCAATGAAAGATTTGTTTGCGCAATAACTGTATTTAGAATCTTTAGGTCACGAACCCATAAGAGACGTGACACAGGAGTGTTGAGTTATTATTTTGGGAGTTGTAAAGCGAGACCTTGTTGAACCACGCAATGTTATGGCGCGGCTTCCGTATTACGCAAATGTCGAAAATTAAAAGCGCCCTTCCTCTTGTTCTGAAGTTTTTGTCGCTGCTTCACTGCTTTTTTTAGAATCATTAAACTATATGTTATAGCCCCCTGCAAGTAAAATTTTAGTCCCATTTCTGTAAATCCCGATTTAAGAAAACTTAATATCACAACATTTTTTGTTCCGCTGCGACAATGGCGTCAACTCACATGAAGAATCTAGCTGACCTTTGCTGTGTATGTGATGTAAGGCTTCAAAAATCCAAGAAAGCGGGTACTTCAAAGTTTCTTTGTATGAAATGGAAAGATTTCTTGGCTGAAAAATTTGAAATTTTTGTGGAAAAGGATCTTGAAGAAATACACCCGCAATATTTTTGTCATTCATGTTACCCGCATCCTGACCGAAGAACACTAGTTAAAGCCACATGGCTCACTCATTACGAAGATAACTGTGGAGTGTGTTCCCGTGTAGAAGAGATTAAAAAAGGAGGACGGCCCAAGAAGCCAAAAAGGGGGAAGGAAGGCCAATTCAAGACCTTCCAAAACGCAGGAGACAAAGGACGCCAACGAAACCTCTTTACAAGATATTGAAGAGCTTACTAAAGACTTACCTTCTCTTCGCTTCAAGGAGTTTTCCGATAAATTTTCCTTTCCCGAAAATATGAAAAGAGATTTAATTTGCCCGGTTTGCTTTCAAGTCTTGGATAAGCCAGTGGAAACCACTTGTCAGCACTACTTTTGTGTAGAACGCCTAAAAGGCGTAATTAACAGTGGCCAAGGGGGTACATGTGCTGTCTGTAAGGAGAAAGTTGGCCCTATAAAAATCCCTACACGAATGGTACTAAAATTAATAGCTGAGCAGCAGGTAATATGTAAGAAATGTGGCCAGACTATGCACTACGAACACAGTTCATCTCATGTTTGTTCCAATGACAATGCACCTGTTCCTGAACAGCCTTCAGCAATGGCAGCTCCCCTTGATCCCACCCAGACTTTGCAGCAAGTTCTAAAAGACGCTCAAGCTGGTAATTTCTCACCAGAAGTGGAAAAAATTTGCACGGCATATGTCAGAAGTAGAATTAAAAATGCCCCGGATGGAAAAACTGTACTCTTCAAGACTGGTGGAAAGGTAACTTTATGTTTTGAATTTGTCCTGTAATTAATCATTCTTCCCTCCCCTTATGATATGTGCTCATTGTACCTATTAAATGTTGTCTTAGCCTTTAGGTGTAGTACACGTTCCTGTTGCCTAAAAACCCTCTGATCAAGTGACTGCTAGGCAGCGTCTTAATAGGACAAAAGCAATTGAGACAGTGGGTAAAACCGTAAGCAGTGACCAGATGGATGTGCACATGGTACACACCCTTAAACGTAAGAGTCAGGAGGAGAGAAGGCAAATTTTAAATGACGCCCTGGGGAAGGAACTTGTTCTTCACATTCCGGAGGGTCAAGCAAATGCCATGAAGGCAGATCTGGGGATCACCTGGTACCGTCTCAATAAACTAAGAAGGTATGGTATAGTTTAATCATGTTTTAAATTTTACTCATCATGTTCTACGTGACTCTTTTAGGCAAAAACAAAATAGTTCCAGTAAATGTTCACAGTACCCAGTTTGGATATCTGAATGTTTTTACATTAAGGTGGTTTAAGGAATGGGGAATCAAGATGGAGAGTGAGAAGAAGCAAAGAGTACGCAAGAGGGAGCAGATAGGAGACAAAATTGAACGGGAGCTTCTTCCAATGGAACACACAGAGAGACGAGGGAACAAGACTGTCACGGTAATAAAGGAAACTCCCTGTGCCTATGTCAGCGACCTTAAGGAGCAAATCATTTCTTATGTGGATGACTGTGACTCGCAAGACTATGCTTCTTATTCTTAATTGACTAGAAGACATGTCTATAGGGGATTGTTTCTAATAGCTCTTTTCAATAATTCTTTCACAGGACGGGACAACTTACTTGGCACAATGGCAAAATACCACAAGACAAACTTTTTGTTAAAATTGGGGGAGATCATGGGCAAGGGTCAATGAAATTAGAATTTCAATTGGCCAACCTTGTTAAACCCAACTCTAGCAAAAAAACTGTGGTATTTGCCATTTATGAGGGTAAGGATACCCGAAACAATCTTCTCACAGTCCTTCAACAGCACGCTGATTCTCTGAAGGAACTTACTACTCTAAAAGTCAAGTAAGTTAATAATCCTATGCCCAAATTATTACTGGTAATACAAATCTAATTATTCTAGTATTAATTTGGATGACTGTATAAATTATGTGTAACGTAGGCTATTTTCGGTTGTGATTGCGTGATCTACGTCAGTTATTTGAAATTAATACTCCTTTGTTTTGAGTGACATTCCAAAAGTGATCGGTATTATCTTTCATTCGGACCACGAGCTAGAGACGCGCAGAGATTGTGAAAGAAAGGTAGATCTAGGATCGTGACAAATACTTGAGTTGTATACCGGGGAAAGAGGTATGTCTTAAATTTACTTGTTTCTCTATATTTAGATCCCGAAATTTCCTATTGTTATCGATCGTAAGCAGATTTGTTACGCTTAAGAAGATTTGTATTGTTTAGATTTATCTGTATGCACGCCCCACGTGCTCAAGTTAAGATCATTTCAATTTGCTTAGATTTTATAGTAATAGCTTTATTTTCGCTCATTGTATTTCAGTTTTTACGAGATTTCAAGTTAAATAAAGGACTTTATAGATCGATAGATGCTTGGAGTTTCCGTATTGAACACAAAACATTTCTCCGATGCTGCCTTGTTAACTTAAGATAAACATATTCCAGAATGATGGCCACGCACGCCCCGTTACATTATGTTTTCGGAACAAAATCCCAGTCCTCTTCCTTTTTGGGGATTATGAATTCCTTTGTAAAGTTATGGGGATCAGTGGTGCAAGTGGTAAGCAAATCAGTTTAACAAATTGTAATACACTTTGAATGCTAAAATAAATTCAGGAACTTACAAATTCAACATTCTTTGTAGGACGTCATTCATGCCTCTGGTGTACCATCATAGCTAGTGAGATGAAACTCCCAAAGAATCAAAGAAGCCCTACAACATCCCGTACACTGGAACACCTTCAGAATTGCCACAAAAAATTCATGGATGATGGGGGTGACATAAAAAAGGCAAAGAACTATTGCAATGTAATCCAGAAGGCGATTTTTGAAATCCCAATTGACCAGGTGTAACATCTTATCCAGAAACCGTTTTCAAGATAATGTAGATTATTCCTTTTGTATTAATTCACTAATATTGTTTTGCATGATAATCTTCAGATATGCATTCCTGGTCTCCACATTAGCCTTGGACTGTTTTTGAAGTTTTTTGATATGCTTGTTGGGGAGTGTGATGAGTTAATTAGATACAAAGATTGCCTGGAAATTGGCTGAAAGCAGTAGTCAGCTAGATGGTACGGGTGATCTAAATGAGCACATCACACTTCTTAGACAAGCTGCAGAACACTCAAAGGCAGCCCAAGATTATGACGCACAAGCTCAATCAACTGAGGAATACGCGGTACACCTTCTGACTGTGGCCAGCAATGTTATAGTGTTTGACGAGGGCAATGAAAACCCTTTGATAACATCGTTACTCAACTCTGTAAAAGAGCTCAAAGAGAAAGCCGAAAATGAGGTTTGTTGTTTAATTGAAGAGCATGAAACTATCTTAAGTTGGACAATTAAAAAATACTTGATGTCAAATTGACAAATAGAAATGAGATTTTTTTGGCATTGGCTTCAGTTTATTCTTTCTGACTCTTGTTATTCACTTTTATAGAGAGCGCAGTCACTGGCCATTCAGTCCAGTAATTCACTACCAAAAGGATCTGGGATAGTGAATACTGCGATTGAGAAATTTCTACAGAAAATTAATGTCAAAAGACAAGCCTACCAAAGTCAAAGTTTTGTTGGCAATCATGTTGACATCTGCCTTAAGGTAATAAGTCAGAACGAAAACCCCATCGATATTAGTCATTATTATTCAGACTTGTACCCATGATTGATAAAGTTTAAATTATTATATCATCCTTTTTCAGGAAAACAACATCAAATCTTTGTGTGAAACGATTAATGAAACGACTAGGACAACATCTTCATCTCTTTTACATGAGGCCACTGCTATCCAGAAGAAGTTTGAATCACTGTTAACCCTGTTTGCCCGGTGCCATTCAAAATACGATTCCAGTGAGGCAGTGGAGGACACAGAAATTGATGTGTTAGGTACAACAAAAACCTTGAGATCTCCAATTTTTTACATCACCTGTATGAGTTTCTAGGATTCTAATATTTTGTCTACCTTACAATTGTTGTCAACAGAGACAGATATAGAAGAGTTTGTGTGTTTCTTCAGGACAACTTTCCCAGATGCTTCCTTTCCTCCCAAGCTACATATGCTCGAGGAACATGTTATTCCTTTCATGCGCAAATGGCACTTCCCTCTGGGCTTCTTCGGTGAGCAAGGAGGCGAAAGTGTCCACCATGAATTTGTCCATCTTGCATCAACATTTTCTCATGTGAAGCCAGCGACATCACGACTAAAGAAAATGATGGGAGAGCATCATTTAGTTGTTCATCCTATAAACAGAGATATGATTCCAGAGAGAAAGAAACGAAACTTAAAACGAGACCAACCCCGGCAAGAATAAGTTTATAATAATGTGCTTACTTTAGTTGAAAAGCTGAGAGCTTCTTGCAACCAAACAATTACACAATTTATTAACCAAATTGAAGTCGTAAACAGCTGTTAGGTTGAGCTTTCTAAGCATACCGTATGTTTGGGCATGAAAACAAGATTTATTTTTGCTCAGGTTGGTCTGTGTTTACTACATTTTTTAAATATTATTTTAATAAACTTGACTGAATGTAGTCTACAGTCGTTGCAAATCACATGATAAAAACATATGAAATAAAAAGCTAATACCAGAAGTCTATTACAATTACTCCGCTGTTTAAATCATATGGCTTTCTTTGCGAGAAAAGGAATAACACCGTTAAAAGACACCAACGCCATCAGTAGCGGGAGACAACATGGCGGCGAGAATCCCTGAAAATACCTTCCAAAAGAATCCTTATAGCGTGAGTAAATGAAATGGGACTAAGACACTTACTTGAAATTTGTGGCGTTTCACTATCCATCTTCTGTTCTCAATCACTATTTCCCATGGAAAAACTTCAAAAAATCCACCAGAAGCGTCTAAAGCGTCCAAAGAGACTAGGGTCAAACCTTGCTATCGGAAACGATGAATTTTCCTCGCTAAATAAGTCAAAATCGGTCCAAGGACAGCCGACCATTTCGATGTGCGCCATATCTTTGACCCTTTCATGATCATTTCATGATCATTTCGTGTTGTTTTCTTAGACAAGACTCTACGTGGCATCATTCTATTGGCTTTAAAACAAAGACCTCACTCCATCCGTTGCAGCCAACAAATCTGTTGCTAGGTGTTGCTAGGTTGAATTTCATTACCATATCAGTTAACGCTGGGCGCTTACCGCGGGCTCTGAAAAAACTTAAATTCCGCTGCGAAAGCGCCGTGCAAGTAGATGAACTGGAAAGCACACTGGTATGCTTTTATATCTACATAGTTTCCTGCAATCCCTCAGAACAAGGGAGAATTGAAAATCAAAATTCAATGTACTGCCGTGGAACCCATACTGTTGCAACGCTTGCCTGTCATCGACTTTACTTTTAGGACTTTTTCTCTAACTGCCCATGTAATCAGATAACAGAAACAATTTTTTAGTATCATTTGCTGTTGGATGAGGGGTTTAACCCTTTGCTTGCCAACGGGACCTAAAAGTCCCAAAAGATTCAAGTCTCATAAGAAAACACAAAGAGGTGAAACAACCCAAAGGGACCTAGAAGTCTCAAGAGCCTTTGCCCCTCTATTTCTGTAGCCAGGACAAAAGCTGTCATCATACATGACGTAAGAATTGTCATCATTTCAAAATGGCTGCCCCTAGCCTCCATGACAGGCGGTTTAAGAACCAAGCGGGGCGAACGCGATATTTCGCGCGCAGCGCAAGACGAGGGGAAGAGAAAAATAAAGCGCCTGTTCGCAGTCCATTGTTCTTGCTGTTCCGTCAATGCTTGACCGTCCATCAGGTAGACGGTCATGCTGATTGGTCAATTAGTACCACGTGATGATGATGTAGTGTGATCAAGATGAGTAAACAAAAATGACGGCCTTGAGTTTGGAAGAAGCGATAGAAAGTGCTCTCAAAAGTTTTCCCAATATCGATTGTTTAAAGGATGAACAGAAGAAATGTATCGCAGCACTGCTGCAGAGGAAAGACCTGTTGGGTTTGTTACTAACGGGATTTGGTAAAAGCTTAATTTTCCAACTATATCCGCGAATCTTTGAGTTGGTGAACGGCAGGAAAAATTGTCACTTTATCATTGTGAGCGCGTTGAATGCTATAACAGAAGAGCAGGTTCAGGAACTTGCCAACATAGGCATATCAACTGTAGCTTTTGGCACTAGCTGTGAAACGGATGAAAATATACTAAAGGGCAAATACAAGTTGGTGCTTGGTAGTGAAGAAATGTGGCTGAGGAAGACCTGGATAAATAATTTTAAGAAGTCTACCCTGAGATTTTCTGGAAACTTTTGGGTTTACGTGCGGACAACTAATTCAATTACGGCGATTGTCACGGAA